AACAATATTAGATCTATTCGATAACTACGAAAAAGCCTCTAATGCAAAAATTAACAAGCTTAAAACTAATTTAATGCCTCTTACAAACATGGCAAGAGAAAAAATTCTTCCAGAAGAAACTCAATTTAAAAAACTAGGAAATCAAGACCATGTTACAGTTTTAGGATATAGTATCACCACAGATAGTACACCAAAAAAAGGCTTATAGCAAGAAGCTATAAGCAAACTTAAACTAAACCTAGAAAAGCTCACTTATAGAAATTTATTCTTAAAAGGAAAAATCATGTTGGCAAACTCACTGCTTCTCTCAAAGATCTGATATGTTGCTTATCTAATGCCACCAAACAAGAAACAAATAGCAGAAATCAACAGGCTTATTACCTACTGAATCAAAAATAACTCCAAAATGCTTCCAAAATATTCTACCTTTCAACATCTATATGAACAAGGAGGCTTACAAGCACCAATAGTTAGCAACATGCTAGAAGCTAGGCTAATCTCAGTTTGGTTGAAACTAATTTCAAGTAATCTTCTATGAGCAAAAATAGAAAAAAAAAATCTTCCTTATACTTGATCAAAAAAAAAATATCTCAGCTATAAAAGTGCTTTCTATACAACCAATTAGGACTAAGGCATGGTCTATGGAATGGAAACCCTACCTTTTAGCATGGAAAAAAGCTAAAGGAGAGGTTCTAACAGAATCCAACTGGCCCTGGAATCTTTTGGAACTAGAAATGGATAGGAAAAAAAGACCAGAAATTACAGTCAAATTCATGATAGAGCTTTTAAGAAAACTTAATTTCAAGACCACAAATCATTTAAACCCTATAGAGCAAACTCAAAGCAATAACTGAATCCTTCAAAAAGCAATACTCAATAGAAAAAAAGACATCTTCTGGCAACTCTTTCACAGAGCCTTACCACTAGGATATAGACTTTATCACTTTGTGGCAACAGAATCAGATGAATGTTCCTGGTGCTTAGAAAACATACAAACTATCGAACACTTCACAATGAAATGCAAAATTAGTAAAAAAATTTAGATAGAAACATACAAATTTCTAAGAACAGGCCAAATAGAATCCATCCTAGACTTGTTAGAAAAAATATTTCTAAAAAACATTACAGAGAAAACAAAAACATATAAGACCATATTATAGTTACATACATACACTATATGTGAAATTTGGTGCTATCATGCTGCTTTTAAATGGAGAAATATACAATATCCAGAATCAACAATTTTAGCTATAGCAAAGAACAGAATCTCCAAAGAGATTAGTCTACTGCACAACAAAAACTTTGTCAAACCTATATATAGAAAAATCTATAAATACCTAGCTTAGTAAATATATTAATGTGTAAATAATAATTTAGCAGTTATAATAAAAAGAGCGCCACACATGCCCCATGATGATATCATCTGGGATAGTTAAAAAAAAAAAAAAAAATTTAACAGAATCTAGACTTTGAAACAACAAGAAAAGTGATCTTAGAACTAATGAATAAACTACTAATTTCCTTGCCTGATACATCAGAGCTCATTTCAGAACATTTGTCTCAAGCTATTCCCTTTGACCTACCTATTACAAGCTGCTAAGTTCTTATACCAACAGTTAGAACACTGCACTTAATATTTTTCTTCGATAAGCAATCAGACATATATATTGCAAACAATTGTAAAAATCTATTAGCTTCATATAAAGATTTAAGAAATAAAGTACAACACCTTTTTCCTATTGTGGACAGAGCTGAACTGAAAAAGCTAGTTTACTATAAAGAGACCTTACAAAAATACTATATTTTTCAGCAAATCTCAGCTGAATACTTTGATTTACTAGTACCAAAAAGCCTTTTGCCTTCTACCTTACAAGACTTGACACTCAGACTAAGAAAGAGATTCCTTTTTTTACCTGAAAGTCAAGATGATTTTAAGGAACATATCAGACTACTACACATGGACTATTCTTTTACTAAACTACCTAATAACTATATTATTTCTCGAAGATGACTATCTATAGATTCAACAAACTTAAAAATGCCCAACTTTACATTTCCATTACAGAGCACAGAAGAAGTAAACACTTTTATCAAACATGTTTCACAAATTTACAATATTCCATCACTATTACCACAAGCTTATTGCAACTTCAACTATATAGATCTTCCAAATCTGCCTGAAAATGCCAATTTAGTCACTTTGGTTAACTTAACTTTACCAATATCAACCTCTAAAGAGCTAAGTATAGCAGTCAAAGCATTACAGAAGCACTATTATTTTTATGCCATACTCCAGTCTTGGATTCAGATAGAAAGAAAAGAAAAACAGTTAGAGATTGAATCAATCTTATCCAAATTACCATCAACTGTAGAACAACTTCAGTTGGCTCTTGAACAAAAACAAATTACAAATATACACATTCCAGCATGAAAACATTGCAATATTCAATTAGTTATAAAAACTCTTAAACAAAACTTCATCTATCACTCTTTAGCAGAATACATTTTTGATCTTATAGACTTACTGAACCATCGTTTGAAATCTTTGATCCACCAAAACAAACAACAACCACATATACACAAATGTTAGATAGGGAAGAAGATAACAATATGGATCTTTAATGAGTACAAGCTATTATATAAACAATCTGCTTTTAGCAGATAATAAGAACGAAACAAAGAAATTAAACTAAATTTAAATAAAAAAATTAACATAACTATATACAACATTAGATGCATCAATAATATACTAAAAATGCAAAACTGGATTGAACATTATGTAAAATCAAATCTATATATAATCTTTATAACTGAAACTAAATTAAAAGACTTAGTAGCAAAATCATATACCAATTTTTTTTACAAGATATTTACATCTAACTTTTTAACATATGACTCGAATCAAAGAGAAGCTAGCTTGGGAACAGTTTTATTAGTTTGCAACCAACTACAGCCTTATATTCATAATATCAATACTCTACCTGGCATTGCAATTTGCATCGATTTCTTTTTTCCAAATAACAACAAATCTTGCATTATTTAATATATTTTTCTTTAAACCATTTCTTACTTTTAAAACAGACACAATCTTAAATTTACTCTTGGATCGCAAAGACCAGATCTTGAAACTGGCACTTGATTATCCTAGGTGACTTCAATGCAAATCAGCATAGAAACAAACAAATTTCAATTTTTACTGACCTAAATGCTGCCAATTTAACGAGCTTATTAGATTTTTATAACATACAAACATCTACTTGGCATGGTCCTAATTCAACTAATCAAATAGATAATTTTTGGGTTTTTTTAGATATACTTTTAGCCTTCGATTCACCAACAATAATTGATGCTACTTATATTATCAATAGTGACTATTGTATACTAAACACAACATGGCATACTAATTTCTATTTGCCAAAAGCTTCTAGAAACAAAAAAAAAAGAAAAGAAAAATATATTTATATAAAAAAACTACAACAGATACATGAAATGAATTTGCAAATATGGTTAACACATTATTTAATTCTCATAAAATCTCCTTATCAAACATGGATAAAGATAATATAGATAGAACATAGAACTACTGAGCATCAAAAATAAAAGAAGCAATAAATAAACACATTCTTTACACCTTTACAGCCCTACAGCCTTTCTTTGCAATATCATTAAAGGCAACAAAGCTCCACTCAGTTCTAAAAAACATTAACAAATGCCTATAACAACTATCAAATAGAGCAGCAAACACAATAGCCTAGGCCAATTAGTACTTAACAAAAGCAGCCACCTTAGCAGAAATTAGCATTACTTCTATTACTTAAGAAGAATTTGCTTATTTACAGTTAAACACTATAGATTGAGTCAAACAACATAAACATACAATTTGGCAAGCATGCAACTATGAAAAAAAACAGGAACAAACTGAACACATTAAGTTTTATGTTAATCACAAGTACTCTGATTTTAAAGACAATACTAGTCAAATGCTAGATAGTATCCTATCTCTTAAACCATTTTGGTTTAGCAGACAAATTTGCTTACTAAAATAATTAGGAGAAAACTAGACCTGGAATAAAATTTTTTTATTTAGAGACTAACTAAAATTAGCTAAAGTAATTCCAGAAACATGTGTCACATGATGATATATGTTTTATGGCATCATTTGTGTCATGTAACACAAGAAAAGATCGAAAACCTAAATTATTTGAAATATGCTTTGCTTTTGTGATAGAGTATTTTATTAGAACTAAGCTTTTGAATCTCTCTAAGATTTTAGCTATAGATATTACAGACTAGGTTAAAATGTCATCATATGTAATATAGGAACTTACCCATAATAAAATTTTATATTATTGATTTAAATAGTTCAGTCAAATTAGCTGCATACAGTAAATAAAAAAATTTTGAATGTAAATTTAAAATTTAGCAATTAAATTGTCAAAACACTTAAAATGATTTTAATTATGTGAAATTAAGCATTTAAGAGATTATATTTCACTCTTATTTTGATAACAATAGATCATTATCCATATTGACAGATTTTTGATAATTAATGAATGCCTTATATTAATCTTTCACAATTCCTATTTTGTTACAAAAAAAATCCGCAAGGTTATTTATTGTAGAGATATTTTCTATTCCCGTGAAATTTTAATGTCTTTTATAATTTTTGCCATGAAAATTAAAAAAACAATTTTGAACATTATTACAGCAAAGTGGTATGTCATATTTGACGCACCAAAGATTGCTTTCATTAGGAGTCTTATGGTCTAAATTCATATTTTTTTTATTTGCCAACCACTTATACCATAGACATGATTCTCGATCTCTTCTCCACTCAACTAAGTGGTTACCAGCTACAAACTGTCAGTTTGAAAGTTTGAAGTGTTTCATTACTTTCGGCCATTTGGTTTGGTTTTTTTTTTTCGTCTGTTTCCTCTTTTTTTTTTCGACCCACTTTTAAGTTGAATTTCCCTCACATTGGTTGCAATATCTATGAGATCCTATATGAGTTCAAGACTAAAGTCCTTTTGCTCCTAAGTTGATCCTAAGATTCAAGTGATACAGTACATGTTAATGATAGAGGTATCGAGCAATCAGAAAAAAAGTGGCATCCAGTTTCTTCGTACCATTTGTTGCATATTGTAATATGAACGAAGCTGGTCTGCAATATCTACACTATTCATGTAATGGTTGTAGTCATCAATTATTTTGGGAATTCTTAATTTTTTTTCGATTGGAAGCCAAACACTGCATGCACTTTTGTTGCATTAGTGCTTGTTTCTTTTGGCCACTGTCTTTCACATTCTATTTCTCATTGTTCACCTACAAGACCATGAATTGTTGACAGCATTGTGACCAAACTATTGTCTTGCCAAAACACAGCCAACACTTCATTTATCACAATACTAGAACATACATCTTAGTCAAGTTGAAGGTTTTTTTCACTTTTAGTTCCTTAGAGAACCCTGATGCTATTTTTTGAACAGTGCTACAGGCACCAATACCAATTTGTCGAAGGTTCTAAAAAAGAGGAACATTAGAAAATTAGTTGTCCATGTAGATATTAAATAAAAACCGAAGATATGAAAGCTGTGTAATAAGATAGTGAATCAGGCAACTAGTTTGGTTGAGCCCACTCACTTTTTCGACATCACTTGGGAAGACGTGTGATGTTGGCAAGAAAGTGAATGTATATCCAGATTCACAAAGTGACAACACCTTAAACCTTTTCAGAATTGGTTTGTTCTTAATATAAATAGTGTAGATGCTTTTTCTAGAAAACCTTATCATTATTTCATCTACCAAGACGTTTAAGGCTGGTGTGTAAAGTTGTTTTGAATCATCTTGGATATGGGAAAGCAACAGCTCTAATTTTTTGAAGTAATGATTAATATCTGCAGCAGGCAGAGAGATATATAGATACCTTTTAATTTGAAATATGGTGTATAGGAAGCTTTGGGTCCTCATTTTAGTACTGATCAAGCGAGGGCAGCCCAAAAATCTTCTGGTAAATAATCAGTGCAATCTAAGTAATGAGCTCCTTGTGGTCTATGTTCTTCTACTTTCTTTTAGTAAGGCCAGGACCTTTAATTAATGCATATGAATTCATGTTCAGAACAATTTTATCAAGTAAATTATTCATAAAAAAAAACAAAAAAAGGTTAATCGGTTTTGAAAAACTGACTTCATTATTTGGTGGCAAATTAACAAATGCCTGATGCAATTGTTTTGAGTGAACCAATAGTTCAAAATTTGAGAGCAGTAGTGGCAATTTATATACACTTTTTGATTTTTTGCAGCTTTTATTGCTACCGCTTTCAGCATCTTCATCCTCCTCCTTGTCTAATCCTGAGTTGTTCAAAAAACATTGGCAGGATGTCAGAACTGGCATGTATTCTTCTTCCTCTTTGTCAGAAAATATTTCAGTACTTTCAAGAGGAGGCAAATTCGAAGATGAACTCGTCTTTGTCATAGTTGAAAAATGATTTTTTTTTGATTATTTTTTGATTTTTTTTTTGATTTTTTTTTCTTTTATTGATTAATAATCACTGTACTACCATATACTACCGACAACATCATATACTGTTATCATGTGATCTGAAGTCACAAAACAATCTGCAGAATTGTATATTTTAATTCTAGTTTAGAAAAGGGGATATAATTGCTTGGTTAAGTTAGATGTAATTGCATAAAATTAAAAAAAAAATTTAGCAGGTAAATTTACATGCTGGACAGTTTAAGGGATAAAGGTGAGCAAAACCAATTAGCTATAAAAAAATCATAACATCTGACAATGTAATTATCAATCAAAAAAAGATCAAAAAAATTGTATGCATCTATCTTAAAAACTGGATGAAAAACAACCCTCTTAACAATTCTTTATAGGAAGAATAGAAACTATTCTACTTTTCACTTTAGCACATATGGAATGATATTTACAATACTCTTCTTTTACTTATTTCAATAACTGAACTGATACAAACAATAAATCTAGCCTTTAAAGAGAAAGCAACTGAACCCTCTGGAATTGCAAATAAAGTTTTTCAGCAATTGCGATCCTTAGCTCTTACAGTTCTACTAAATATCTTCAATAGCTGCATAATACAAAAAGTAGTCTCAAACTAATAGTTACAGGCTAATATTTGACCAATTTCTAAAAAACAACAATATAATTATGAACTAAATACTATCTGCCTAATTACTTTAATAGACCACACCAGAAAATTTTTACAAAAATTTTAACAAATCATCTGACAGATATTCTAGTTTGCAATCAAATGCTTTTCTCTTACAACTTTGCAGCTTTCCCTTATCAATCAACACTTCAACCTATCTTCCAACTCACTCACATCTTAGAAGATGCAACTATAAACCAAAAAGAAATCTGAATCTTGTCTTAGGATATGTCAAAAGCTTTTGACTCAATTTATATACCAACTCTTTGCAAATCACTTGACAGAATACACATACCCAACAAAGCAATTAATTTGCTATTATACTTGCTTCATCATCATACAAACAAAGTAATTACTAGTTTAGGACCAACTCAATTCTACTTTGTTAAAGATGAAGTAGATCAGGGAGAAACAATCTCACCACTTCTTTGGAAGATATATTATGATCCTCTTATATCTAGAATTTATATAAAATATCAAAGATTTACTGAAAAAATCCCATCCATTTGGCCAAAAGAAATTCATATCTCAGTAATGGCATATATGGATGACTTTTTGTGAATTGCACTTGACAAAACCTCTCTTATCAACATTCTCTATACAGCTTCTTCCTTTTATAATTTTGCTAATATAAAAGTTAATCCTACTAAGTCAATTCTAGCAACAAACTCAAAAGACTCAAATAATAGTATAACTTTTGAAAATGAACAATTAACAGCAATCAACAATGGAACACCATTCAAGTATTTAGGAGCATGGTTCTCTACTAACAAAAAACAAATACTCATTCAAAAAGAAATCATAGTTGAGACAACAATCAATCTAAAAAGCTACAATTTGCTTATATAACAGAAAAACAAGCAATTTATATAGTAAATAGTGTTATCTTCCCATGTTTGCTCTATAGGTTGCACTCTATATTTCTTTCTAATACTCAAATCAATACACTTAACAAGATCTGCACTAGTTTAGTTAAACATAAAGCAAGGCTAGTTCAGGAAGTTCCAAACTCATTTCTATTCAACTCAGACATCTATGCCTTAAGCAACTTAGCTTAGACTCAACTCTTTTTCTTAGTAACAATACTCTAAAAAAACTTAAACCATCATAGTTTTGATTCCTCTTTCTTAAAGCTATAACTACAACAATTATAAGACTCAGCTCTTACTAATATTTCTATTCTCATCCAACTTCCAGTCTTTCTAGCTTTACAACTAAATACATAAACTAGCCAAATGGTGCTCGCACTTCATGCCTTAAATTTACAGACTTTATGAAATAGTAATAACTGGCTTTATCCCAAAACTTTTACTGAAACCTCAATAAACCAAATTCTGCTAAATCATTCTAGAGCTTTTTACTTTAAAGAAAAGCTAAACAATCATAACATTGTTAGCATAGAACAATTCCTAAATGCAACCAACTCAGAGCTCCTAAAATAAAACAATTTTTATCACAACATTAAAAAGATACTAAGAGGATGCTGTTCACACTGGTTTCTTATAGTTCAAGACTTAATAGCAGTCTCTATTAATCCTTCATCAACATTTCTACATGTAAACCCTTACACCTTGTCTCAATAAAACTCTAAAAAGAAAGGCTAAATAATTATGGATAATTCTACTATTGGCAAGATACATAATTCTCACAACAAAATCTTTAAAGCTTGACATTACATCCTAAAGCCAAATAATACAATATTAGCTTGCACAGGCTGTAACCTAAGGAATCAATCATATCACTCCAAGCATTGCTACTTCAATGTAACAACATCACTATACAACCTGCAGGTTGACTGCAAAAAGAAAATCCACTTAAACATTGTGGATTTTAAAAGAGCACTAAATTATGTTAAATCAATAACTATAACTTGAGAGCAATCACAAGACGTAAACCCAATACTAGAAAAACCTTTATGTTCTTTTGAAAATTCTCCAATTAAACTTTAGAAAACATTAACAGAAGCTAACTTCACTATAAAAACATTAACAATTTACCTAACCTCCAACTGACAAATAGTAAATAACAACTCTCAAATAATAGCAAAATACTATATACAAAATACCAATACTTGTTTTGGTTACTTTACTAACCAATGACCTTCACATATAAGCATGATGCTTAATTTACTAAACTTTATTCTTACTATAGTCAATTTATATACAGAAGTAAACATCTGCACAGACAATTCTACCTTTATTACGTATATTAATTTAGTAACTTCTATTAAGCCTCATAACTATTTTGCACTTGACAAACAGCAGCATATATACCTTTTTCTAATCCTAAAAGTGCTCTTATATAATCAGAAACTTAACATCATACTGGATGAAAATATAAAAATCAAAGAAACTACAGACATTAACTTGCATCCAAAATTACATATGGTTTTTAACTCTAGTTAGACAAACAGTATATGAAATTTTACAAAAATTAGAAATGTTATGTTTGCACTTGGATGCTTTTGTTAAAGCATTCATCACTATACATATAACTAAGCAGATATCACTAAGACTCATTACTAGAGACACTTTAGCACCTTTTGATACAAATAGTCATAGGCACAAATATGCTCCACTAATACACCATAACATTATTACAAAAATATACAAAACAATTTGGCTAGCCTCCAGAAAGACAAGTCATGATTCAATTCTTCCAATCCCAGCTCTAATACAGACTCTAATACTAAACAAAACTAAGCCTTTGGCCTCATCTTTTATAGAAAGAAAACTAGCAAAATACATAAACAATGGACTAACTTCTTTAACACATCTTCTTAAAGACTAGAAATTTAACAACTATTCTAGCAAAGAATAGGTCGAGAGTAAAGTAGCTCTTATCACCATCTCTCATAATATAGTTTTTTCATATATATTCATCTTATATATGTGTAATTGATTATAAATAAAAGAGATAGAGAATAAACCTTTCTTTAAAAAAAACAAAAAATACAAACAAAAAAAACAAAAGTTTTTTGTAAAAAGAATATAATCAAAGGGTCAAATTTTGCAAGACTGCCAGAAAACTCAACTGAGAAGCCAGTGCATATTATAAATGCATTAATAAAAAATGCTAAAAAGAACAACAATGTGTTATGGTTAGTTCTGCAAGATATAAAAAAGGCTTTTAATTTAGTATTGTTAATTGCTTTAAAAAAAGCAATAAAAATAATTAAGTTGCTAGAAAAAATAATTTTAATAAAATTAAATTTATTCTAAGGCAAACAATTTAAAATAATTACACATTGAAGATACACAAAGACATTTGTAATTAATAATAGAATTGAACAAGGGAAAATACTCTCACTACTAATATAGAAAATATTCTATAATCTATTACTAGAAAGAGTACAAAATGATGTAAGTCTAGGTTATATAACAGTAGTATCAATTTCAAATAACAACAAGCTAAACTACATAATAGAGATGGAATTATATTAAGTGATAATAGCATTTGCAGATAATACAATAAAGATAGTAAGTAATAAAAAGCAAATAAAGCATACATTACAAATTGCTGAAGATTTCTTTAAACTAAATGACATTTAAATAAATAAATAAAAATCAAAACTTATTATAATAAATCCAAGTAAATTAAAAAAAAATAGAAGAGTTAGACTGAGTAATAAGTAGATTTTTGAAGAAGAAAAAACTAAAATAACAAAGTTTTTAGAAATTTGGCTTAATAATAAACTTAATGAAGGCCAAGTGAAAATAAAAGCCAAAAAATTAATATGTTTACAGCAAGGCTGCCCAATACCAAAAAGATAACAGATGCTCAGATATTATATATAAACAATATATATATAGTGCCAAAGTTAATATATATGCTTTAAATATTAAAACTTTCAAAAAAGCAATAGATACTATACAAGAGCCTATAATAGAGATAGCTAAACATAAATTAAAAATTACAAGAACAATAAGCAATAGTGTAATTATTCATAGAAATCTAAATACTTGCAATGTATTATAAAATCAATTGCTAATTAAACAAACCACAAGTTTGCATGTACTAATTAATTCAGCAGGTCTTGAAGAAAAACTAATAAGGATTAGAATTAATTAAAAACTGCTGCTTTTAGGTACAACAGAAACAAACTAGCAAAAAAACTCAACAAAAGTATGTAGCAGCTTATGAAAAAACAACTTAGCATATCAGTTAATGCTTAGTGCTAAAGAGTTACGAATAATACTTAATCTTAATAATATAAGTATAAAAAAAACAGATAAAAAAATAAAAATTACAGATGTGTTGAAGAACAAGTTTATGTTACAAGTAGCCTTAGTACTAA